TCCATCCAGTCTGTAGTTCTCCATCCAGTCTGGAAAGAGGGAAATTTTTTAAAAATACTGACATATGAAAGCACCCGCTAAAGATGGCTAAGAGCATCACTGTTTTTCTAAAGCTCCCAAAGTGATTACAGTGTGAATCCCAGGGTGAGAACAACTGGATTCAAAGATGCCAATGAATATTCATTTTCTTAAGAAATAGGAATATTTCTTCAATTAGAGCTAGAATAACAACTAAAGTTCAAGTTGTTTATCTAGAACAGGAACCTGAAACAGGAGCACCAGACGGGGGCATACATCAGCACCAGCATCATCAGAAGATTTTCGTTTCCTTCCCTCAACCTGCTCCTTCTGCCCCATGTGCAGATCCCACATGGTATTTTAGTGGTAAAGTAGACCCAGGAAGTAACCCACGCCCTTCATCTACAAGTGATACAAGAGCCCAGAAAAGAAACAGCTGTGCCCAACATCTCACCCTAGCAATAAAGAGAACTTGAGTCTCCTGTGCCCTATTTCAGTGCTCCTTTTGCTTAAACATTTTGGAAGCAGTAGGAAAACAGGTGGGGCATAGAGTCAGCCAAGGCACCTGAAGAGAATTGTAAGAAACCAAGAGAGCAGAGACAAAATAAAAAGAAGTCAAACCAGAGTGGGAAAGGAGAACAGCCGCAATCTCACAATCTGCGATCTACATATGATAGGGAAATGAGAAGGAATATTTAACCAAGCAATGCAACTGGCCAGAGAAAAATGTAGTCAGGAGAACTAGCAACTGCAATCATGTATCAGTAAAATGAGGTAAAAATCCCAGGGAATAAACAAACCTTCCACTCAGTTTCAGAAAGCGTATCCAAGCCCACCATACTTTCAGAATAGAAAATAATATTGAAACAGAAACAAACGAGGACAATCTCCAGGCAGAGAGGCAGGGGCTGCTAGAAAACCCCAAATATGTTATGCATCATCTACTGCCTTGCTTCTCAAAACATGGTTCAAGGATCACCTATTTCAAAATTACCTGGGAGCTTGTGAGAAAGGCATAATCTTGGGCTTCATCCTAAACCTGTTCAACCAGAATGTGCATTTTAATAAGATTTTTGTAATGATTTATATGCACACTAAAGTTTAAGAAGCACTGGTTCTACTATAAGAGCCCTGTTAAGGTGTTAATAAAATAGTTATTACATAAATTAGCACTACAGAACTGCGTAGAATTCAATCCAACTAGTTAAAATTTCTTGTTGATGTCCTATGATATGGCAGGCCCTGAGCTGGGTATTTCAGGAAATGAAGGTCCCATGTTAAGCAAGGTTGGTGCACCACCCTTAGGGGAGAATATAGAAAGCACCTATATATTTGGAAGACTCTGACTCGTAGTCCACAGGGAAGAGGTTAGGCAAAATATAACAGGGTTTGCTGAAGCAAAAGCTGGAGTGCAGAGGGAGATCAGGACGCATGTAGCAATTGCACTGACTTTCTGACAAGTGTAAATGATTGAAGGGAAGTAAGAGGGCCCCTTCCTAGCAGAGGGAACAGCATAAGCAATGACACAGAGCTAAGACAACCTGCTGTGTTAAGGAAATACTACCTTCAGCCTAGAGAAGTCTCAAATTGCATCAAGGAGACTTGGGACTCTATGATGATGTCTCAAGACTAGTAAGAGCAGGGAGCGGAAGTTAGTAGGATCTCTGGGACTCCATTCCAACCACTTAAGATTATATTTTAATAGAGTTCAACATTGAAAAATAATATTTTAAATGTATCATGGAGCCAATACACATGGTGCTTTTAAAATTATCACCTAGTGCCGTGCTGGTCATGTAGTAGGCACTCAAATATTCACTGAAGAAATTAATAAATTAAGGACTGGATCTATCAACCAATGAGATCAAAGTAAAAAATGCAGAGCTACTTTGGGGCTGGACCGCCGAAGTTCTTCACTGTTTGAGGAGGGATTAATATGTCACTCGGTAGGACACTAAGGAAAACTTTACTAGCCATTGATTAGGCTTGGTTCTCTTTGGGAAGCTTATTCTGCAAAACGAAGTGTGAAATAAATTGGGAGAGAATGGAGATGGGAAACGAGTCAGGAAGCCATTGTGGTGGTCTCTAGAAAGAGATAAGAAGACTGAAAAAAAATAGCCACCATGGGAATAGAAAGATGAAGAAGCAGGCATCATAAAACATTATGGAGATGAACTATGTCTGACTTGTTTGTGAATTTTATGTGAAAGGCAAAGATACTGGGAGGGTCATCGGTGACTAGGAGAAATATTAAAATTGACACAAAGTCATCCTTGTTCACTCAGGAGAAAGAAGTTAATTAGAGCTTAGACCAGCTAAAGTTGAAGCACCTGAGAGAAATACAAAGTTATCTCTTAGGTGGTTCAAAATGTAAACGTAAGGCAGGGAGAGTAGAGCTAGGATGTCACTTCAGGAAGAAATAATCTAGCACTATTAAAAAGAAACAACTGAATAAAAAGTAACATACAAAAGAGCAAAAAGTAGACAACCTATAATCTATAAAGCAAGAGAGATCAAGAGAAATCCCCAGAATTTTTTTAAAAAACAAGAAAGAAAGAAAAAGAAAAGATAAAAGGACCATATTGAGAAACAGTGGGGACAGAGACAGGAATCGGGGGTTGGGGGGGTGGCAAAATAGAGATAGTGAAATGGTGTGGCAGGGATATAATAAAAACCACAGGCACATAAAAAGCAATGGGAAACTGGGACAGACACACACTCCCTGTTCTTTAGGTCTTTGAAGACATATAGGATAGGGTATTACGGGAGCAGCAGAAAGCAATTTTGCTCTTTATTTCTGTGAACAACTCACTCCTGTAAGAAGTTAGCTAATTGCTCATTTTTTTAAATATAAATTCTTGCTGTTAAAAATCAAGCAATGATGTCTTCAGATTCAGCTGGGAGAAAAAGTCTAGGGCAGGACAGGCAGGGTGGCCAGTCCAAAGACTTAAGATCCTTGTCTTTTCCATGGTGCCTGACTCCACATGGCATTAGTCTGTATAGACATCAGAATTGTTTTGAAAGATATTTTTTTCTTTGAGTCAGGTCACTTGCCTGAGAAAAAGAACGCTGGGAGCAACTGATATGCTTTGATCAATCCTCATTTAATAGTTACACTTTTTAAAGTGATCCTCCAGCTGTTGACAGGTCTCACTAATTGGCCACATTTGGGTGACAAGTACTAATGACAGTTCCTTCTCTGGTTAGACTGGAGAGGAGACACCTCCATTGGTCTCCTGTCTACCTCCATTGAAGAAAAATACATTAAATGTATTGTTTTCTTTTTGCTCTGTGAATCTGTATATTGTTAAAATGCTGTAAGATATCAACATGATTTTTTTCAATATACATGATACTTAGTGGTTATTAAACTTCCATAAAGGGATCATTACTTATGTAATGTAAAATAATATACTGCAAACAAAGCACATAAGACATTATGCTGCAAAAAAAAAAAAAAAAAAATCACCAGGATGATTCCAGAATGGACAATAGTTTTTCCTTTGTTAGGAGAATTCACCTTCCCCAAAGTATTTTACTACAAATGCATCCAAGAGAGGTCAAGGAGATCTACAAGAATAGCTATTTGATTTGTGGTTTTCATCCCAAGCTTCCTCAAATCACTTTTGGAAACAGGTAAGAGTGTAAATTACAATACCACAAATATTTAATTTATGGGAATATAGAATCTGAAAAACAACCAACACTTTGATCAAATAAGCATTTTTTTTTTCATCTTAAAAACCTCAAGTAACAGAACTTTCAATGCCGTATTTTCCATTCTAAAGGCATTTATCTATTACAGGGAAGGGGCAGCACATACTCAATGCACATATGGCATTAAAATAAGATTAAAGGATGCTGAAAACCAGTGAAATTAGGCCCTGGAACATTTAAGGGAGTTCTTTCAAGCCCGAGCCTTTAACTTATCTAAGACGTGGCTTACTGACTTTATGAAAAGCCTTCTTTTTAATTAGATAAATGCATTTCCCACAGTTTCATAAACTGTGTGGAAGCTGCCAGTTTCCATGCTTTAGGCTGGGCCCTATAACACAAATGTTTTGTTCCTTCTGTAGGAACATCTTTTTGCTACTACATCTCGACAAAGTTTGCATTCCCCTTGGTGTGTATACCTCAGCAAAGCAAAAACCAAACAGAACTGCAAACCTCATCTCTGTATGACAATGAAAGAAGACGTTTCCCAGCCCAAGAACTTTTCAGAGCATCCCAAAGCCGCGTTTATTTTGTGTTCTTGGGCGTGGGGAGACGGGGGATACTTCTTGGCAATTTATTACCCCTGAAGAACAGCACTTCCTATCCAGGTTCACCATGAAAACTGTTTGTCCTCCAGAGTCTAGGGAAGCATCGTCCTGCCAGCTCTCCCTTCTCCCCACAGGCCCCCGCACAAAACAGTGGCGAAACAGATGGTCCTCCCCCTCCCCTTCTCCTAGTCCCTTCCGCAGTCCCACAGTGTCCTCCCACCCTGCGCTGACACCTTCACCAGAGATTAGTGGCCGAGGCCGCCCGTCAGGGCTCCGAACAAATGCAAACTTTGGGGACTTTCTCTGTGCCCCTCCGCCCCATCTCATCTGGGCTCTGCTGCAGAACTCACCCGCGACTCACCAAGCTTCGACTGCTACCCTCCTCCCACACCTCCGTCCCCTAATTAACTACTCGTTTCCAGGTCAGGGAGAGAAAGAAAAACCCCAAACTTCCAGCCCAGGTGAGGAGGCGCTGCGGCTAAGCACAGCGGGGCACCCTCCTCGTCCTCTCCCCTCTCCATCCGTCCTTGGGAATTGGAGCCTACCCTGGGGAACAGCTGAGTGTGCTCCTGTGGCTTCCACGACCTAATCCTAACTCTTGCGAGTCCGCAGGAGTTAGGATTAGGTCGTGGAAGCTACAGGCGCCTGGGCGCCCTCTTCTACAAGTGGGACTGCAGGACAAGGTGCAAACTCTATCAGGAGGGGGCCTCCCAGCCTTACCTCGGGCGGCGCGCTCAGGTGCACGCTCGCTACGCGGAGGCGGGCGGGGGCCGGGCGAGCAGAGGGCGCCTATTCCGAGGATGCCGGGCTGGGCTGGGCGCCCGGAGCTTACCTCGGCGCGCGGGCCGCGGACGCGTGGGGCAGTGGCTCCTCCAGCCGGAAAGCTGTTGCTCACGCTCCGGTGTTGACTGCGGTCCCGCGGGGCTGCACAGGCTTCGCGCAGACGTTCTCCCGCGATCTGCTGCAGCCCGAGCGGTGGCGGCCGCGGAGGTGGAGGTGGCGCCGGCGACAGCTCGGCCCGGAGCGGCCCCGGAACTGTCCAACTCTTGCCCGCGCGGGGCTTAAGCACCAGACCGCTGTCCCCGCGCTGAGCGCCTGCGCGCCCGGCCTCGCCCAGGTGAGGGGCGTGTGCCCGGAGCCCGCGGGGCGCGCCCGGCCCGGCGCCGCCGCCCGCCAGCTGCCCTGGCCTGGCCGAGGACCCCGGGATTTGGCCGTGCCAACGCCACTCTCGCGCGCCGAAGCTGTGACGGTTTACCAAGCAGAGACTTGCGAGGCACACACACTAGAGGGAATGAGGCGGGACCGTTCGGGGGCTCCTTGACACTGCAGAGCCTCCCGCAGCATCGCTGCCTTAAATCCCGCCTTTCCAGGCGTGCGCGCACTGCCAGCCAGAGGAGGCTCCGTCCCGACCAGGGGTCCGCCGCGGTCCTCAGCCCCAGGGCTCGCGTCCTGAAGAGATCCTTGGCAATGGCTGGGGTCCCAAAGCCGAGATGCCAAGCCGCGCCGTGGGGCGGATGCTTCCAATATTAGTCAAGCCAGAGTGAAACTCTTCTTGCAGATCGTCAGACCGACTATGTTTTTCGTCTCTGACCAGCCCTGGGCTCGCAGACCACAGCGAGCAGCCTCGGCATAATTAGCGGAGCCGGGAAGGCCCGCAGCGCAGAAGGCATTGCAGCCTCGCCGCGGATCTGAAAGTCTAGTGGGCGGGGGGCTCATATTCCTCCGGATTTCTTTTCCGTATTTAAGTTTTCAAAACTAAAATCTGTCATCGGTTACCCTGAGGTAGAGGGCATCTTCTGAAAATTAGTGCAAACATGGCCAAGGTACTTGGTTCTGAAAGGGAAAACACTTAGAACACTTAAGAAAGGGAAAATAATTTTAAAGAGCAGTTTTCTGAGATTACTTCTTTGGGGAGAAATTCAAGAGTCATAAATGACCAGAGAGCTGTATTATATAGCAGAGATTTTTTTTTAACCAGATGATCTTAAAATATTTTTCATTGGTTCTTCTCTCAGATGATTGACACTCACTCCGTAAATAGTTAATCCTGCAGCTGTTAATGTCTTGGTGGAATCGTCTAGAATAAATATCTTAACATCCAGCCAAAGCCAATGTTGTTCTCCCAGGGTGGGCTTGAGATGTGACAAACACACAAACACAACATCCTAGAGCTTTCTAAAGGAGCAGGTTGTGTTTATAACTCACCTTGGAATATAGGGTTAATGCAAGCACCAGCACATCTGAGGTACCAGGGTGAGAAAGGACATAAATCTGACTTACAGTTTTCTATTTTTAGAATCCAAATATCTTCACATCTAGGTCGGCAGTCTCAATTCTAAGGACGGGCGCTTAATGGTGTGTTTATTCTTAAAACTGTACGTTATTTGAAGTTGCTACAGAAGGATAGCACCAAAATTCAATCATTTTAACCCAAAAGAACATGAGCTATAATAATTGCTTAAAATCTTTTTTACAAAATTATGATCTTAAGATCTCTTCTCATCAGTAAAGGGTATGTTGAAAACAAGTCTTTCACAAGTCCCTGAAGGTCAGTAAGGCAGAGCTCTGGCAGGCTGCGAAAAGCAGGAAATTCCAGAGGCAAAAACCTTCCTTGAGGAAAACAAACAGCTTCCAGTGCCCTGCACTTCAGAGTTGGGAACAGTGTGGTGTGTCAGGGTTGCCTCTGAACTCAGGTAAGTATTGGTGTCTCCACGAATCTAAGATTCAGAAAAAGGGTGAGGGCCCCTTAAAGTCTCCAGTCAACACCTTGGATTGCACTTGGAGGCAAATGAGTAACCGCTGCAGAGTGGAACACCTGTGAGAAGTGTTCTCCGTGGCTTGCACAATTTAGCAGCATGTGCATTTTTTATGTCCTGCAAACTGCAACTATATCCTTCCCTCCTCCCTGTCTATTTTTAATCACCTATAGCTAAGACTTATGCAGAGAATAATTTTTTTTTAATTTTTTATTGGATTTTAGGTTTTGGGGTACATGAGCAGAGCATGCAAGACAGTTGTGTAGGTATACACATGGCAGTGTGCTTTGCTTTTCTTCTCCCCTTCACCCACATTTGGCATTTCTCCCCAGGCTATCCCTCCCCACCTCCCCATCCCACTGGCCCTCCCCTTTTCCCCCCAATAGACCCCAGGGTTTAGTACTCCCCTTTCTGTGTCCATGTGTTCTCATTTTTCATCACCCACCTATGAGTGAGAATATGCGGTGTTTCATTTTCTGTTCTTGTGTCAGTTTGCTGAGGATGATGTTCTCCAGATTCATCCATGTCCCTACAAATGACACAAACTCATCATTTCTGATTGCTGCATAATATTCCATGGTGTATATGTGCCACATTTTTCCAATCCAGTCTAATATCAATGGGCATTTGGGTTGATTCCAGGTCTTTGCTATTGTAAACAGTGCTGCAATGAACATTCGTGTACATGTGTCCTTATAGTAGAACGATTTATAGTCTTTTGGATATATACCCAGTAATGGGATTGCTGGGTCAAATGGAATTTCTATTTCTAAGGCCTTGAGGAATCGCCACACTGTCTTCCACAATGGTTGAACTAATTTACACTCCCACCAACAGTGTAAAAGTGTTCCTTTTTCTCCACATCCTCTCCAGCATCTGTTGTCTCCAGATTTTTTAATGATCGCCATTCTAACTGGCGTGAGATGGTATCTCAATGTGGTTTTGATTTGCATCTCTCTGATGACCAGTGACGATGAGCATTTTTTCATATGATTGTTGGCCTCATATATGTCTTCTTTTGTAAAGTATCTGTTCATATCCTTTGCCCACTTTTGAATGGGCTTGTTTGTTTTTTTCCTGTAAATCTGTTTGAATTCTTTGTAAATTCTGGATATCAGCCCTTTGTCAGATGGGTAGACTGCAAAAATTTTTTCCCATTCTGTTGGTTGCCGATCCACTCTAGTGACTGTTTCTTTTGCCGTGCAGAAGTTGTGGAGTTTCATTAGGTCCCATTTGTCTATTTTGGCTTTTGTTGCCAATGCTTTTGGTGTTTTGTTCATGAAGTCCTTGCCTACTCCTATGTCCTGGATGGTTTTGCCTAGATTTCCTTCTAGGGTTTTTATGGTGCCAGGTCTTATGTTTAAGTCTTTAATCCATCTGGAGTTAATTTTAGTGTAAGGTGTCAGGAAGGGGTCCAGTTTCTGCTTTCTGCACATGGCTAGCCAGTTTTCCCAACACCATTTGTTAAACATGGAATCCTTTCCCCATTGCTTGTTTTTGTCAGGTTTATCAAAGATTGTATAGTTGTATGTATGTTGTGTTGCCTCCGGTGCCTCTGTTCTGTTCCATTGGTTTATATCTCTGTTTTGGTACCAGTACCATGCTGTTTTGATTACTGTAGCCTTGTAGTATAGTTTGAAATCCTGTAGTGTGATGCCCCCCGCTGTGTTCTTTTTGCTTAGAATTGACTTGGCTATGCGGGCTCTCTTTTGGTTCCATATGAAGTTCATGGTGGTTTTTTCCAGTTCTGTGAAGAAAGTCAATGGGAGCTTGATGGGAATAGCGTTGATTCTGTAAATTACTTTGGGCAGTATAGCCATTTTCACGATATTAATTCTTCCTAACCATGAACATGGAATGTTTCTCCATCTCTTTGTGTCCTCTCTGATTTCATTGAGCAGTGGTTTGTAGTTATCCTTGAAGAGGTCTCTTACGTTCCTTGTGAGTTGTATTCCAAGGTATTTTATTCTTTTTGTAGCAATTGCAAATGGCAGTTCGTTCTTGAATTGGCTTTCTTTAAGTCTGTTATTGGTGTAGACGAATGCTTGTGATTTTTGCACATTGATTTTATATCCTGAGACTTTGCTGAAGTTGCTTATCAGTTTCAGGAGTTTTTGGGCTGAGGCAATGGGGTCTTCTAGGTATACTATCATGTCGTCTGCAAATAGAGACAATTTGGCTTCCACCTTTCCTATTTGAATACCCTTTATTTTTTTTCTTGCCTGATTGCTCTGGCTAGAACTTCCAGTAGTATATTGAAGAGGAGTGGTGAAAGAGGGCATCCTTGTCTAGTGCCAGATTTCAAAGGGAATGCTTCCAGTTTTTGCCCATTCAGTATGATATTGGCTGTTGGTTTGTCATAAATAGCTTTTATTACTTTGAGATACGTTCCATTGATACCGAGTTTATTGAGGGTTTTTAGCATAAAGGGCTGCTGAATTTTGTCAAATGCCTTCTCTGCGTCAATTGAGATAATCATGTGGTTTTTGTTTTTGGTTCTGTTTATGTGGTGAATTACGTTGATAGACTTGCGTATGTTGAACCAGCCTTGCATCCCCGGGATGAATCCTACTTGATCATGATGAATAAGTTTTTTGATTTGCTGTTGCAATCGGCTTGCCAATATTTTATTGAAGATTTTTGCATCTATGTTCATCATGGATATTGGCCTGAAGTTTTCTTTTCTCATTGGGTCTCTGCCGGGTTTTGGTATCAGGATGATGTTGGTCTCATAAAATGATTTGGGAAGGATTCCCTCTTTTTGGATTGTTTGAAATAGTTTTAGAAGGAATGGTACCAGCTCCTCCTTGTGTGTCTGGTAGAATTCGGCTGTGAACCCGTCTGGACCTGGGTTTTTTTGTGTGGTAGGCTCTTAATTGCTGCCTCAACTTCAGACCTTGTTATTGGTCTATTCACAGTTTCAGCTTCCTCCTGGTTTAGGCTTGGGAGGACACAGGAGTCCAGGAATTTATCCATTTCTTCCAGGTTTACTAGTTTATGCGCATAGAGTTGTTTGTAATATTCTCTGATGATGGTTTGAATTTCTGTGGAATCTGTGGTGATTTCCCCTTTATCATTTTTTATTGCATCTATTTGGTTGTTCTCTCTTTTATTTTTAATCAATCTGGCTAGTGGTCTGTCTATTTTGTTGATCTTTTCAAAAAACCAGCTCTTGGATTTATTGATTTTTTGAAGGGTTTTTCGTGTCTCTATCTCCTTCAGCTCAGCTCTGATCTTAGTTATTTCTTGTCTTCTGCTGGGTTTTGAGTTTTTTTGATCTTGCTCCTCTACCTCTTTCAGTTTTGACGATAGGGTGTCAATTTTGGATCTCTCCATTCTCCTCATATGGGCACTTATTGCTATATACTTTCCTCTAGAGACTGCTTTAAATGTGTCCCAGAGGTTCTGGCACGTTGTGTCTTCGTTCTCATTGGTTTCGAAGAACTTCTTTATTTCTGCCTTCATTTCATTGTTTACCCAGTCAACATTCAAGAGCCAGTTGTTCAGTTTCCATGAAGCTATGCGGTTCTGGGTCGGTTTCTGAATTCTGAGTTCTAACTTGATTGCACTATGGTCTGAGAGGCTGTTTGTTATGATTTCAGTTGTTTTGCATTTGTTGAGCAGTGCTTTACTTCCAATTATGTGGTCAATTTTTGAGTAGGTGTGATGTGGTGCTGAGAAGAATGTGTATTCTGTGGATTTGGGGTGGAGAGTTCTGTAAATGTCCACCAGGTTTGCTTGCTCCAGGTCTGAGTTCAAGCCCTGGATATCCTTATTGATTTTCTGTCTGGTTGATCTGTCTAGTATTGACAGTGGAGTGTTAAAGTCTCCCACTATTATTGTGTGGGAGTCTAAGTCCTTTTGTAAGTCATTAAGAACTTGCCTTATGTATCTGGGTGCTCCTGTGTTGGGTCCATATATGTTTAGGATCGTTAGCTCTTCTTGTTGTATCGATCCTTT